GTCAATATGAGGTACCAGAAGAACAGACAAACATCATGCACACATGGCTCAGACCATGACTCCAGGGAGCTTCAAAACAAAAAAGGCTCCTAAAAGAAAGCTGATCTTTTAGAGATCCTAGTTTTGTGCTCCTGACCAAGGCAGTGTGCAAGTATGCACGCCTGTGGGCAGTAGTTGCAAAGTAACTCCAGTACCACGGAGTGTGTACTTACAGACTTCAGTGAAGGGGTCACCTTTATTTCAGTCTCTCACAACCGTAAGCATGTGAAGGTGCCAAATAATCTTACCAGAAGACAGGAGAGCAAAGGAGACTCCTACAACAGTGCGGGACAGGACAGGGTTGGGCTTGGAGGAAGAGCCAGAAGGCAAGTGGGGGGATTCTTGTAGTGTAGCTGCATTGGTCAAGCTTGGTAACAGAAAAGAGAGCACAGACACCAAGCTGTCCTATGGAATTTGGCTATTCAAGCACCCACATGAACAGTGGAGTTCATGGCTGCACCCACAAGGTGAGGGACATGAGGATGGTATGACATCTAGTCCCTGAGACCAACCAAACTAGAGGCTTATCAGGGCTGAAGAACAACATTGTAACCACATAGAATGCAGGGAACTAAAGTTTCTACAGAAACAAGAGCACTACCCAAGAGCCCTGATGTCACACAACAGTAGAGCACATGCACCCTAAGGAAAAAAAAAAAGAAGCTATAAGCTTAAGATATGGAAGATATAGGCATCAGGAGCAAAAACGCTAATGTTTCCTTCCTGGGCTTTTCTACAGAGTTTAATCTGTGGATCACGAGTAATTAAACTAACCTGAAATGCTGCTTTCATTGCAGACAGTCTGTCTCCCATTGCCCCAGTGGATGGCTTGTATGCCTCATAATTACTCATCACATTGCTGTTGTTCCCACGGTCCTGAGGTGAAAGCAAAAATGAAACTGAATAGTTTTACCCAACCAAACACACTTTTCACCTCATCTTATGTGCAAGCTCAAGTACTGGATGTTTCTCTGCCCTTTTAGGATGTCTTTCACAGAAGATCACAGATCCACCAATCAGCTCTGAAATGCAGGCAATTGCTACTGACACTTTAACTGTGGTAAAACAGAAGTAGAGGCATGAAGTAAGTCGGAGTGCACGGATAAGAGATTTTTTGGGTCGATACCGATAGCCATTTTTTAAGGAGGCATTATCAGCCAATACCAATCCAATTTTCAATACATCATGGAGAGCTGTGTGCAGCTGGTAAGTCTGTTGTAGTGGAAGGGCAGTGGGGAGGGAAGAGGTGTGGGGGGGCAGATCAAGGCCCACTGTGGTGAGGGAGGAGTGGGGCTGGGGCAGATGCTGCCCAGCCAGGGCAGCGCAGGGCAGGGCAGGGCAGGGCATGGGATGGAGCTGCAGCTTGATGTGGGGTGTGGGGAGGGCAGCTCCCATTGCTGCGCACCCCCCAGATCAGCGCAGGGTGTGGGTGGGATGGGCTGCTGCTGCAGGCTGTGCTCAGGACAAACAGCGGCAATGCTGAGAGGGGGCTATGGGGAGGGGCTGCAGCCACCCCAAAATTCACCATAGCCCCCATAACCCTACTCCCAGTGGTGCCACCTGGCCCAGCCCCTCTGCCCGGAAGAACCCGACATCCCTGGCTCTGGCCTGCAGTGGCAACCACCCCACTCCTCCCCACACAGATCCGGGGGCACATGCCCCCCCCACCCGCCCCGCCACGTAGCGGTGGCAGCTACCCCCCCCCCCCAGATGAGCCATGGCTCCATGCCGTGCCTCGCACCCCGTGGGCAGCGCCTGCCCCATCCCTATTCCCCCCCTCACTGCAGGGGCCTTAATCTGCCCCCTCACACGTCTTCCCTCCCCCCTCCCCTTTCACCACAACAGGTTTACTAGCTCCATGCAGCTCTCCATGCTGCCAGGCTGTGCTCCTCAACACCTACGTGCTGCACTGCAGCTGCGTGCATGCACGGGCCATTTATCAGCCAAATTATCAACCACATCGGGCCAATTTCCAATACAGCCAACTTTTTTTTTTTTTTTTTTTTTATATATCAGTGCTGATCTGATATCAGACCAATGTATTGGCACACCTCTAGAAGTAAGTTGTAGTGACTCAGGCTGGAAACAGATATTGCCTTTGCCACCCTAAAAATGTTTATGGATGCCTGTGTGCTTTATGGCTGTCCAGCTGCTCCAGGCAGGAGCAGCTGGGACTACAGGGGACCAGATCCTGTACACCTCTGGAAATTCCCCTACTGGGATACTCCAAGGGCATGCAGGATCAGGTACCTGAAGTCTCAGAAGCACCTGCCAGGGTTCCCTGCTTACAGAGGCAGGTTTGTGCCTCAACCCTTGGGCTCTCTCTTTTATAGAAAGGTGCCCCAAGTCAGTTTAACCTGCAGGACCAGGCTTCTGAAGCCCCGGGAGCAGCAGGGGCTCAACCCTGTGAGAAAAAGGGCAATGTCCGTCACCCAGTAAAGTGGCTCAGCTGATTCTGCTCCAAGGATACCACCCATTTATAGCCTCAGTGGCCAAGAATGGAGCTCAGGAGTCCTGATGCCCAACACTCCCTGGCTAGGAACAGAAGTTACACATAAACTGGTTTAAATCATCAGACACTGGTTGAAACCTGTAACAGAACTGAAGTTCAGTGCACATAAACCAGTTTCAAAATGGATGAAACTGGTTTAAGATAAACCTGGTTGAATGTAGTATCAGACTTAACTAATTTGGGTCAGACCAGTTTATGAAACTTGTGTCCCAGACCCCTTCCTGGTTCAAGTTAAGTCACAGTCCCCCAGCATGCTTTCCAGCCCTGGGCTGGGCTGTCTGCTCCAGCAGAGAAGGGTTTGGGGGAGGCAACCCTGACTGGGGTTGGGGGGGGGGTGTTAAGCTTCCCTTCCCCCAAGTACAGAGCTGCCTTGCCCCACTAAAAAAAACTTACTACTGGCTGTGACTGTGGACTACAAATCCCAGAGACACCTGGAAGCAGGAAGAGGGAGCAATAAGCAACCCTGCAAAGTCCTGCTGCTGTGATTCTGGACTGCAAATCCCAGAGACCTCAGGAGCAGCAGGAAGAGGAAGTGAACAAACAGCCCATGCTGGCTATGTGCCAGAGAGATGCGCTTCAACACCCCCCCCCCCTTCCTTAGATTCTGGCCTGAGTCACTACAGGTATATATATATATGTGTACAAAAATATATGGCTGCATTTCCTAAATCAAAAGTAAATGTCTGTCCAGTTGTTCCTCTGTTTAATCTCTGCAGTTTAAAATAACCTGCAAAGACTGAATTGATTCAGCCTCAGGCTTTTTGACTGTCTGCACTTAGCCCCCAAGGCCAATTACCAACAGACTGAGAAGTCCATAACAGCAAAGATTCCTATCTGGAGGTTTACTCATAAAAAAGGAAAAGACATCTGGGGAAAAGCCTAATGTCAATGAGCAGAGATGGGCACAAATCCAGAGCAGAAGACTCCCTTTTAGATTCATCACTGCCCCTTAATAGGAACCAACAAGAAGGCAAAGTAAACTATTGCTGAGCAGGACATTTTTTCAATATTCTTACTGTTAAACTGTGCCCAGTATCAGGTCAGCAGTACGCAGTTTTTCTACTGCTAACAGGACTCTACTGACTGTTTTCAAATGTTGTAATGCAATTCCACAGTTTTAGGTGCCAAACACTTAATGTGTGGATGGATTTCCAGATCAAGTAGATTCAGTTACTGTGAAGGAATAGCTCTCGTCAGGGTACAGAGCTTTTCTGAAATAGGTAATTGCTTCATGAGTCAAATTAGAATCAAGTCCTCCCCCCCACCCCAAAGACCTATGTTGTAACTCTGAACAAAGTCACCTGTGGCAAAAAAGGTGAGCATGCAGCACAAGGAGCATTGTGTGAAATGCCTCCGAATCCTAGAAACAGGGTTTCAAAATTCTGAGATATTAAACCAAAATCAACTGAACCCTGTGTGGAGATCCTGTGAAGTTACCCTACCATAATTCAGGTTTTTCAATGTGAAAGATGCCAGTTATAAATTTATAGTTTCAAAGCTATGAAAATATCTCCCAATTCCTCTGTACTTACAGAATTTTCTGAGCCCAGGCCGGGGCGTTCACGGTATCCCAAGCCACCACCTCCAATGTTCAGCTTCTTGCCTTTTCCTCCCTTGAAACGGGATTTCCGGAACCACGGGTTCTGCATACAATAGGAGAAGGCTTTCTTAAATGTGAAAAAATCCCCCCATTGAATTTATCAATTCACCCCACTGACTGACCAAGCAGTTTTTAAAACCCAGTGGGTGAGAAGGTGCTGCAAAAACAGTATAAGGTTGGTAAGTCATGGGTCTATGCCCATAAGCTATCCCCAGGGTTTTATAAGAGATGGTTGCACCTGATGGATACCATACTTGTTGGCAGGGCGGGCTGCGTACAACTTTTCTCGGCAGGGGCTGGGCTCAGAGCAGGCACCAGAGACGCTGGGAGGATGCTGCATCTGCCCCAAATTTTGCCTCTGCTCCACTCCCAGCGCTGCCACCCCGGCTCTTCCCGGCACGTGGGTGGAGGCAGGGCGCTGAGCGGCTGGGGGTGTCAGCGCTGGGAGCAGAGCAGCAGCAAAGTATGGGCTGGATGCAGCATCCTCCCAGCAACACCTGTGCCCATTCCGATGCCAGCCCCCACCGAGAAGCGC